TGATGTTTTTGACCTAATGGTGGATATTTATGGAACTTGTGAAATGGTTGAATGCTTAGTACCATGTATCGTTATTTAATCGATAATGTGAAAAGTGCCATTTCATGATGACTCATGTCGATGATTTATGATTGAATTTTGTATCGTGAATAAGTGATTATGAATTTCAAGGTAATGTGGTTATGGTGCCTTTCATTACGTTACGACATGTCATGTTACGGTATAAATATACGTTACGTATGCCAAACATTACATGGTTCATAAGCATTATACATTTACATGAAATGTAAGTGCATGCCAATTCATTGGAAGATTTAAAGTCTTGAAAAAGGATTTCCTTCAAGATTCTTCCAAATGCAATTGGAAAATATTTCATGGTTTTCCATGACTTGTCATGGTTCATGGTTTTTATGGCCTCATGGAAAAGGCTTCATGGTTTCCACGGCTTTCATGGTTCATGGTTTTATGGTTTCATGGATCGAGTGGATGCGGACATGCACTTTTATATACTCGACAAGATGTACCCACAAACAAGTCTGATTTTTCAAATAGACTATGGAAAACCCGAAGTCTAGAGACAAGACATCCAAGCACAAAAAAGATTTGTCAAAATAATCATCACAAAAATTTCATGGCATGGAAAATGATTTCCCAAAGGACATGCAATGATTTTGCATGTATATTTCACTTACATACACGTCATACATGATTAACTTACTAAGCAACTGCTCACTAAGATTTTGTGATGTAGGATCTAAAAGTAAAGAATAATGGTGGTGTTCACTTGTGAGTCGACTCCGAAGGCTCGTCCAGTCAAGTGTATCTTAAGTGTGGATGTAAGCTAGACCTCTTACACACTTGTTGTTTTATTAGTGCTTGGTATTTTAGTTTATGTACTAGGCATGACATCTATGATTTATAGATAGTAAAAGCCATGAATAAGTAGACAATTAGTTAGAAATGAGAAAATGGATGTAAATAAATAAGTCACTTTTATGGCAAGTGTGGCATAGAACTAGTTAATATGTAAAATATGGATATGAAATAGTATAACGAGTATGTAATGGTAGTTTTCTTTTAATGAATTACTTGCATGCTATCACCAATAATGTAATGTGGCCACTAAAATTAACCATCATAAATGACAAGTAATGAAGAAAAATGGGATTAATTACCAAATAAAAGATAATAATTAAATTAATTTCTACGAAGCTATAGAAAAAGAATTTGATAAAATCAAACGTCACAAATCCAATCGATTCGAGTCCAAACTAGTATAATAAAATGTTAAAATAAAACAATTTAACAATACATTTTGAGCTGAAATTTAGGACCTACTCATCATTTAATAGGCTTTCACAAAATAATCCATACCTAGTATACTATAGAAAAACCTCAATGCTTTGTTAGCTTGCATTTATTACACTCCGAATATAGGTCAATAATAGTAATATTCTTAACCTAATAGGTCCTAGGTTGGGGGCATTATACTTACAATATTTAAGATTGATGAGTAGATGGTTATTGATTTATAAAGTGACTAGAGAAGAACCAACATCTTATATACATATTGTTTCATAGAATAAAGGAATTACGTGTTGGTAATTGATAGTAGTGCTTGTGAAAGCACCATGCCCGGAACTTTAGTTAAAGATATAGGTTTACCTACCAAAAATCATCTAAAGTCATACTGATTGCCTTAGATAAAAAAGGAAGGAGAACTGCCAATGACAAAGAGATATAAAGTAAGAATTGCCATAGGTTTAGCCTACAAAGATAAGATATGTTGTGATGTTTACCAATATATATATATGATGTAATCTTAGGTAGCCCTTGATAATTTGATCAAATATTCATCCATGATGCATATAAGAATACCTGTACAATAACACATGATGACAAAAGATTCATATTCATGCCTAAATGTTAGGAACAAATAAATGATCTATAGAGTTCACAAGATGAGTCATATGAGTCTTATTATATGAGAAAGTTGATAAAGAATGAATCATCTAGTAGTGCTTAGAGTGTTGATGGCTATATGTTTGAGAATAATGTATGGTGAAATGATGAACTATATTGATTTACATTCTACACCAATTTATAATGAGCATAATGACAATGACCCTTATAATATTGATACTGCACTAAATGAAATCATACATCATGATAAAGAGACGGATGGTGAGATACTTGAGGTTGTAGATGAAAGAGATATCATGGATGGTACAATTTATGGGAGTGTTATTGCTATCGTGAGTTGTGAGAGAGAAGGAGTTGATGTTGAGGGTAGTAAAGGGAGCTTAGAAATTGCCACATAAAGAAATAAGTGGGGAAGTTATTTCCATAGGGGCACAAGAGAGTTTGAGGTTTGTTACCAATAGCCCAATACGGTAAAAAAATAGTTAGTACTATGATTGTTCAAATCAAATTTATGTTGAAATACCAATGAGTGAATTAGGAGTCGCTACTAAGGGAAAGAGAGTGGGAAAGGCCACTTCTAAGAGAGAAAGAAAGCATAGAGATCAAGCATGTAGATCAAGCTATAATTGCTAAAGTTGCTAAAGATAAGAAGAGGGACAACACTTGCTAAAATTTTCAACATTGAAAATCTATAGGGTTGCAGATCACAAAATTTTACAAAATGCAAAAATTGATAGTGGTACTTATGAGAATGCCATTGTTGTAAGTTTAGTTAAAGATATGGGGTTGCCTACCAAGAATCATTCCAAGCAATATCAAATGTCTTAGATCACAAAGGAATGAGAGATGCTAGTCACAAAGAGATGTGAAGTCAACATTGCCATATTTTCGATCTACAAGGATAAGGTATGATGTGATATTTTACCTATGGATGTATGTCATATAGTCTTAGGTAGAACTTGGCAATTTGATAGAAAAGTCATCTATGGAAAATGATGAATGATCCATGGAGTTCATAAGGTGTACTATATGAATCTTGTTATATGGAGAAATCATTTGAGAATGAATCATCTAGTCATTCTGAGAGTTTCATAATGATGGCTTCATCTTTGATAACAAAGCACGTAGTGAAATTATGAACTATGTTGATTGTAATTCACCACCAATTTATAGTGTATATAATGATATTGATGATGAGCCTTATATTATTGATATTGCATTACATAGAGAGGTTAGAATCATAGATCATAATAGAAAAAATCATGAAGAAATGCTTGGGAACGTAAGTGAAAAAGGTGTCGTGGACAATATGACTTATAGGAGTGTTGTTGTTGTCGTTGGTAGTGATGTTGCTTGCCATGAGTTATGAGAAGAATGTTGGGTATGTAGAGTACCATAGAAGAAGTTTAGAGGCATAAATAAGCATATGAGTGATGAAGTTGCTACCAAAGAGGAGCAAGAGAAGTTGAGGGTTGTTTCCAATAATCCCAATAAAGAAAATCAAGTAGCTACTATTGTGATCAATCAATCCAAATAAGAAGGCTGCTATCAAAACACTTAGAAGTGAAATAGGAGCTACTAGCATGCGGAAGAAAATGAGAAAAACTACTATTAGGAGAGATAGAAGGTGTAGAGATCAAGCTTTAATTGCTTAGAGTTGCCAAAGAAGAGGATAAGAGTGGCAACATGTTAAAAGTTCCAGCTTAGAGAAGCCCTTAGTTAAAGTCATGAAGTTTTGCACCAAGGTAACTTACAAAGGAGGAGACTTAGTGTGAGTGAGCCTAAAAAGGAAGAAGTTGAACATGAAGAAGGAAATCAAACTTAATGATATTGAAGGTTCATTCCATGTTGTCAAGAAAATAGATGAGCACACCTATGAGATTGACTTAGTTAGAGATCATCTAGTCTCGACCATATTTAAGGAAGCTGATCTTACACCTTACCTTAGATAAGACAAAGACTAAGATGTCAAGGTCGACTCTTCTTCAACCTAGGGGACATGACATGAGAGTGTTCTCTCAAAATTCTACATGATCTATTTTTTTAACTTGACCAAAATTTAGAACATGATATTCTATCTTATCTTATTTTATCTTGTGTAAGCCTTATAATTGGTTGGATAATTATGTTTAGTTTTTAGTCTTCATTAGTTGGACTTAGACTAATTAATTTAGTCCTCATGTTATTTTGTTAGGGATGGCCAAATATGATCTTAAAGTTAGATTGGGTTTTTAAGTTTGGATCCTTGTTTGTTTAAGAGTTATTTAAGTCATATGCATCCTAATTTGACATGGACACTTAAAGATAAGTCTTAATTAAATTATGAATGCATAGAAGAGTTCTTTTCTATTTATTTTTTAGGGATTAGATCAATGATTGAGTTTTGTAGTCTAATTTGAACAATTTTTATCAACCCTAGCCGCCCTTTAGTGTCTATTATTTAAAGCAAACTATTTGCTTCTTTTGTAACAAGTTTTGCTATATGAAATCAAATTGATTTTTTTCTCTACTTTCTGTGTGAGTTCCTTTGCTTGGATTCGCTAAGTTTTTGTAAGATATATACTTAGAAAGATTTACTAATGTGGGCTTTAGACCAAAATTGAGTATAAGACTTCTTGTACTGGTGTTTGTTGTATCTACAGGCTTTCTTGGACGTGCGTATCCGTATGTTCTTCTCAATCATTCTTTTGGTGGTGTTATTTGTATCCTCAAGAGCAAGCTATTAGAACTTGTATATTTATTTTGTTTGTGAATTTATCTTTAAGGAGATGTTGATCTTAAGGCTCCTGAGACGTATTTGGGAAAACTTAGGTTGTCTAATTGGGCTTTATTTATAATTTCACTTTGAACCCATTTAGGTTAATTTATAACAGTCAGAAAATACCAAAAATATGAGGGTTAGATTCGGGTTCTTCAAATATTTATGGAAAACTTTAGGATTAATAGATTTTTCAAGTTTTATATTTAGTCGCGGTTTTATTGGGATATTTGATTACTTGATCTATTTAAGGTCTGTTTGTTGATTGTGGGGCTGGATTTTGGGTTAAACCATTCGGCATAGAGAAATATTTTGGTGCTTATGTTTGTTTTGTATCTTTGAGCCTCCTGAGTGACCCCTCGATTAGTCTTTTCTCTTCATCAATAGGATCCGTTGTTGCTTCTTCTGGTGTGCTAGAAGTAGAAATATCAAACTCCTCAGGTTTCTCCACGATAGTGAAGAGAGTAGCCAAGTCAAACACAACGAGAGGAATAAGAGTTTGAAATCCCATTTTCTTAGAATAAAAGGCAACAAAATTCATCATTATAAGTATATAGTTGAGGTCTGGGATAAGGTTCTTTGCACCACTCGTGTTTCCTCCTCTCTCCTCTCTACTTCTGAAGCTGGCTCTAGAGCAACGAAGCTCATTGGAATTTTTTAAGTAGGAATATTGCTTGGATCTATCTCCACGTTCTCAGCCACTCATGTTACAATGAAAGGATCCTCATTGACATTCCCTTAATCTCCCACATAAAAAATTAGACCTCTATAATTTATCTTTCAGCACAAACTTTATAGTTTGTTTAATGTAAACGTCTAAGTTTACTGTTAGATTAGATTACTCATGACTCACATGTCTAATGCTCGATAAAAATTTAATTTAAAACTATTGTAGAGCTTTATGGTATTTATGACAAATATGATTAAGTTTTTGAAACCATATCATGATTTAGTTTTTTATGCTAAATCTAACTCTAAACTGTAAGTTTTATTTGGATAATCTTTATTTGTACACCATGACATCCTAATCTGTGAACTTATTGTGTCCAGGTTTCTGGAAGAATTTGCAATTCGTTTGACTCAGAGGTAGTTGCTGCTTCGTCACACAGATTGAGTTCCAAATATTGAAAAAAAAAATCCAGCTCCTGTAAGGAATGGAGAAATTTATATTAGTAACAGGCCACAGAAATCTTCTTGCGGGTTCCTACATCAGCAAAATTTTAATGGATAAGTTCTGAGATTAAATTGAATAAGGTGATAAACTATAATAAGATTTTATCAAAGTTTGGCAGCGACGTTATGCTTATCTGACAGCACTATTCGGCATGGCAAAAGGCGGTTAAAGCTCTAAATTTATCCAAATAAAAGGACTTTCTCCATTCAGGTTCATGGCTTATCTCCATGAGGTCATTTGCTAATTTAATGGGAACCATAGAACTGATAATTGATCAACTGGCCGGTATAGCTTTGTCAATGGTATTTCTACTTTAGCTCAGCATTACTTAGGCTTTCATAAAGCTTCTGATTTGTGTCATCAACTGTCTGGTAGGTTTATACTTTATATGCAACATATGTCATGACCAGGGGCGGACCCACGTTGAATCCTAAAGGGGCCACCCTCCAATTTTTGTTGTTTTGGACTGGCCTTAAAAATAATTTGAACCATGGTTGTTCATGTGGTCATGCTGTATGCCTGTATCAATACAAACGATGACAACTAATTTGAATCTTATAGGTCTCATTTTTTATTATTCTGTTTAAATTTAGTGATTCTTATTCTTATTTAACGATTCAGATCTTTATTGAAATTTAGTTTATTTAAAAATTAGTTATAAATTCTCAATTTATAAATTTAGATTGGATTTTTTTCTAATTACTTTTTATTTGAAGTTAAATGTTTATGTTGCCTTACTATCATCCATTCTAATGATTTCATTGGCAAATATTAATAAGATGAATCAAAAGGAGGTGCTGCCAGCCATATGCATTATGTGATTGGTGAAGCTTAGTTGGATGCATTGCAAGGTAAACTTTTATAGGCCGTATGTGATAGGTCCTAGGATGTTTTCATGGGAAAGTAGGCTGATCAGAATTGAACAAAAACAGACTCCTCCGATCTGCCTGACAAATTAAGGTTTTACTGGTGGACTTACACCCTGTCCACTAATTTTCAGGTAAAGTGAAAAGCTAGGATTGAAGTCTATAAATAGCTGGGTACTGAGAGTAGCTCTTAAACCATAGCACAAAGCTGCTAAGCACCATTAAGTCCAATGGCTAACTTAAGATGTTTAGTATGCCTAGTCTTGGTATTGCTCTTGTCTTCAAGGGCCAGTAGTCGCCCTTTCAATTTAAGGGTAAAGAGGAGGAATGTAAGCCAATTATTCGAGGCATTGCAGCATGTTGCCAGTTCAGCAAACCAAACTGGGAACAAGTGGCCTGGTAGGCTGAGCCCTGGGGGACCTGACCCACACCATCACTAACTCGTTTAAAATCAACCAAGAAAGGATGCTTCTTTCATGAGAGTTACATATTCATGTAATCTCAACCACTGTAGTTTTTTATTTTTAATGATAATGTTATGTAACTGTTATTTATCAACGTGCGGAACTCTGTTCTTATTCATTTTCTCTTCAGATAATGGGGATGAAATTCCCTAACAATATATAGCTTGAGAGAATTATCACAATCTATAACCATGTTGAAAACGACTTATAAAAGGAGTTTCTTGAGATAATGTAGGTGACAGAAAAGGGAAAATAATCAAATTGCCAGTTATGTCTTGATCAGTGTAGAGACAACCTTGCGTTTCGTGGTCTTAACAAGGAATCCAAGCAAGGAACTGTAAATTCTGGGCTTGAGATTAAATTGCAGCGTACGTTGCACTAGCTATTTTTCACTCACTTAGCTTCCGCATATTTCCAACATCGTGTTTCCTCCTCTCTCCTCTCTCCTCTCTACTTCTGGGGCTGGCTCTAGAGCAACAAAAGCTCGTTGGAATTTTTCAAGTAGGAATGATTGGATCTATCTCCGCGTTCTCAACCACTCATGTTACAATGAAAGGATCCTCATTGACATTCCCTTAATCTCCTACATAAAAAATTAGACCTCTATAATTTATCTTTCAGCACCAACTTATAGTTTGTTTAATGTAAATATCTAGGTTTACTGTTGGATTACTCAATATGGACTCACATGTCTACTGCTCCATAAAAATTTAATTTAAAACTATTATAGACCTTTATGGTTTTTATGACAGATATAATTAAGTTTTTGGAACTATATCATGATTTAGTTTTTGAGGTTAAATCTAACACTAAAGTGCACGTTTTATTTGGATAATCATTATTTTGTTATGATCTCAAGTTAAGGATCTCGTCAAGGGTTGATTAACAGGAAAATCAATTAGCTTTTCCTTGTTCATGTTTCGATTTTTCTGTGAAGAACCTATTGAAAGCATCCGTTCTTTAAACAATAGAGGCGGCAGCTGAAAAATAAAGACAAGCCTTCATAGGCTATTGCCTAGACAGACTCACATTAACATTGAAAATCTCAATTAAAATATCACACCAATTAGGACTCTCGTCTTCTTTTCCTAATCTGACTTATTCTTAATAAATAATAAATAAAAGCAATAAACAAATATCTCAGCAAGATTTTAGTTTTCCTTCTGGCGCTATTGCCTTTTTCTATACTACTGATCCACTTCATATTTATACAGCATGGCCTTCCAATCCTTGTTTATGTGGACTTATTGTGTCCAGGTTTCTGAAAGAATTTGCAATTCATTTGATTCGGAGATAGTTGCTGCTTCATCACAGATTGAGTTCCAAATATTAAAAAAAAAAAAAAATCCAGCTCCTGTAAGGAATGGAGAAATTTATATTAGTAACAGGCCACAGAAATCTTCTTGCGGGTTCCTACATCAGCAAAATTTTAATAGATAAGTTCTGAGATTAAATTGAGTGAGGTGATAAACTATAATACGATTTTATCGAAGTTTGGCAGCGACGTTATGCTTATCTGACAGAACTATTTGGCATGGCAAAAGGCTGCTAAAGCTCTAAATTTATCCAAATAAAAGGACTTTCGCCATTCAGGTTCATGTCGTATCTCCTTGAGGTCATTTTCTAATTTAATGGGAACCATAGAACTGATAATCGATCAACTGGCCAGTATAGAACAGGGTGCTTTGTCAATGGTATTTCTACTTTAGCTCAGCATTACTTAGGCTTGCATAAAGCTTCTGATTTGTGTCGTCAACGGTCTGGTAGGTTTATACTTTATATGCAACATTTGTCATGACAACGACCGAATTTGATTTATCAAGCATGAACCTTTGTTTATCTGCCATGCAGGAAAAGATATGGATTAAGAATGGTAAATATTAGTAAGATGAATCAAAAGGAGGTGCTGCCAGCCATATACATTATGTGATTGGTGAAGCTTAGTTGGATGCATTGCAAGGTAAACTTTTATAGGCCGTATGTGATAGGTCCTAGGATGTTTTCATGGGAAAGTAGGCTGATCAAAATTGAACAAAAACCGACTCCTCCGATCTGCCTGATGAATTAAGGTTTTTTTGGTGGACTTACACCCTGTCCACTAATTTTCAGGTAAAGTGAAAAGCTAGGATTGAAGTCTATAAATAGCTGGGTACTGAGATTAGCTCTTAAGCCATAGCACAAAGCTGTTAAGCACCATTAAGTCCAATGGCTAACTTAAGATTTTTAGTATGCGTAGTCTTGGTATTGCTCTTGTCTGCAAGGGCCAATAGTCGCCCTTTCAATTTAAGGGTAAAGAGGAGGAATGTAAGCCAATTATTCGAGGCGTTGCAGCATGTTGCCAGTTCAGCAAACCAAACTGGGAACAAGTGGCCTGGTAGGCTAAGCCCTGGGGGACCTGATCCACATCATCACTAACTCGTTTAAAATCAACCAAGAGAGGATACTGCTTTCATGAGAGTTATATACTCATGTAATCTCAACCATTGTAGTTTTTATTTTTAAAAAAATAATGATTATATTATGGTACTGTTATTTATCAATGTGTGGAACTCTGTTCTTATTCATTTTCTCTTCAGATAATAAGGATGAAATTCCCTGACAATTTATAGCTTGAGAGAATTATCACAATCCATAACCAAGTTGAAAACGACATATAAAGGAGTTTCTTGAGATAATGTTGGTGACAGAAAAGGGAAAATGATCAAATTGCCAGTTATGTCTTGATCAGTGTAGAGACAACCTTGCGTTTCGTGTTCTTAGCAAGGAATCTAAAGGAACTGTAAATTCTGGGCTTGAGATTAAATTGCAGCGAGCGTTGCACTAGCTAGTACAATATTTAACCTCAACGGTAAGATACTTTATACAGGATTGGAGAATGGCTACCACTAAATGAGATTGCAACTACCCTAATCTCTATCCTTCTGGCCCCAAAAGTCATTTTTCTGCTTGCGCAGTTCAGGCTAAGTTTGTAGGCTAACAGAGGTGACTGGTATAGTCAGTTGCAGTAGCTGCATTCAAGCAAGTGATTTGTTAGACACACGTCCAATTTTTTGCTATTTCATCATGGCTATTCTCGGGATGTTCGCTTGTTGCCCTAACAAGCTGAAGGACTAGAAAACATAGTCATTGTAGTATTGGTGTCTTAAATTTCCATTGTTTTGGATATATCTTGGGTTTTCCATCAGAGGCTCGTTAAGAGAAGAGGAGATCGTTACAGTCTCTAGAGCTTTCTAGCTAGGCCGGTTGTAGAGCCCAGATCCATTGTTTTTTGGATCCTATAAGAGGACCCTTCTTTCATCCATTTCTGACAAAGCAAGTAGGATTTTAATTTCCCTAAGGGAATTGAATAGATCCCATCCCTAGTGACTTATGGGGTATTTAATAAAATTGAAAATTAAGTATTGAATTTATTGAGTATTGAATTTTAAGTATTGAACTGAATATATTCCTCACAAAATGTTTGATATTTATTGAAAATTAAGTGCTGAATATAATAAGCTTGTTTGATAAATACGTTGCTTGAACATATTAATACTATATACATCATAACTTTAACCTTGTAATTGTAACATGATATTTTTTTATACAAATAAAAATATATACATAGATGTATTTGTGTGTACAAATAAATAAATAAAAATGATTATTAATTAAAAAAAATTAAATACGATCTAAGATAACCTTAATTGGCATTTCGGATTCCGAGATGATAGCACCAATAATGGAGAAGGTTTTCTCTATTTTAATAATAAGGATAATACATATTTTTTTCAGTTGGTTTATATATCTAAAGTTATAAAAATATATGAAGGTGATATAGTCATATTTGAAAAGTTTTGAAAATCTTTGAACTGAGCGTATTAATAAAAAAGTAATAAGTTAATAATTTTAACTATCCGATTAAGTGGATTTTGATTGAACTTAAATTTTTAATATGAGATTATTTAAGTTACCAAATAAACTTTTTATATTAAGTAGTATAACTTAATTTTTTAAATTATTTAAATAGGTTATCAAACACCCTCTTAGTTTGATTTGACAATAACATGGATTCCAATTTCATATCTAAGAAATGCAATACTTCATTGTAAGTGTAACTAAAATTTTAATCTTGATCATCCTTGTACTAAATTTTCTGTGTCCAGGGGCATTGGTCTGAATCTGCACCATTTAAATTGGATTTGTGTTATACTATTGCTGTTTTTCTTACAACTCTGATTTTTGAATGTCAATATCTTCTATGATTCTGAGTTTTTTCCCTAAACACGGTACTTTTTAATATATTTTTTTAAAATAAGGTATTTTAAATTTTATTTATAAAAATAGGATAGTTTTGTCATGTAGGCATCCATGTCATCTTTTTAATTAAATGTTATAATATATATTTAATATAATAATTTGAAAAAATTAAAAATATAAAAGAAAAAATTAATTTATGCTCTCTGTCTCTCTTTTATTGTCTTTGTCCTAATTTCTTAAAGTTCAAGTACTCCCACGAATCAAAACCACAATTACTAAAAAAGTAACCTAATTGGTGGGTCTTGCATATAAATTTCGACTTGAAGCTGCACAAGTTCAGATGGTCTTGCAGTTCTTATCATTGCCTCCAGAGGATAACAACAAACAGAAAAGCAATGGGTGAAAGGTAAAAGTTTGTGGGCTCTAACTTGATCTTCTAGTTTATTGACAAGATATCCTTTTGAATAAGAAAGAGTTGATGCCGGAATTTCATTTCCTTCGTTATAGAGCAAATCAGCAAATACAAATATAAATCTTTGTTGGAATTTCTTATTCCATTAATGGGTGTTTTGGAAGAGAGAATCTAAAAAAACTATACTACTGTCAGAGAGAGAAAAAAGTCTAAGACATTTTTATTAAAATAACAGAAATTCACACTGCCATCGACACTGGCTCTCCTTTATCCCTTCAATTTACAATCTAAGGGTTCAAAATACCCAAGCCTCTAATGTATAAATCACATTATTGTTCTTGGGAAAAATTGAGCACATTACGGGATTCTCCCAACAAAAATACTTGAGAATCCCAGCCCATTATCAGAGTTTCTTGTTTTTTTTTCCTTTTCCTACTTGACATTTTATTGAATTCCTGCCCACACGTATCCTTTGTTTGTGGACTGAAATAGCAACTAATTAAGCAGCATTCTGAAAAAGAAAAGAGAAACTAGCACTTGAATATCAATACGTAGTACTTAATTATGATATGATCATTTGCCATTAAGCACTTCTCTCAAGCATCTCTCGATACCTCTTGAACGACTCCAGCTTCTGCAAACGCATCTGCTTGTGAAAGAGATTTTTGGTTGTAAAGAGAGGATAACTTAATTTCTTAGGAAAAAAAAAAAAAACTTGACATGTCATTGTATTTAATTGAAATGGATCATATTTGGCATATAGTACCTTATTATGAAAAATAAATTTAAAACTATCTTATTATAAAAAATAAGATTAAAAGTATCCTATTTCAAAAAAAAAACTCCTATGATTCTCACATTACAATTCGGTTAATTAGTTTTCTGTACTTTACGTGATCAATCCGTTTGATCTGCCATGAAAAAGCCGCACCACGTACTGTTAATTTATCTTAGCTCCTTGTGAAATGGACATATGATCTACCTTCTTTATTTTTACAAACATTGCTTATAAGATCTAGAATATCATAATATATTGTTTGTTTTTCCTACCTGGAATTTGCTAAAATCAAGAGAATTTCGGGACTAAATGGATAAATGTTGAAGTAAAATCTTAATTTCAGAACCAAATTTCTCTTGACAGAAATCAATATGGCTCATTTAATCTCTATAGTACATGCATGGCAGCACAGTTAATCACCCTTAAATTTCAAAGTTCTTTTTTTTTTTTTTTTTAGAGAGAGAGAGATATTCGAGCTAACATCTTTAGACCAAAAGAAGAAGAAACATACATTGAAATCTTTTTTTAAAAAAAAGGTCTATCAGCAATAACTAATGTGGACAAAACATAATGGATTTCGGAATTTTGTCGATAATAGCTGATCACAATAGTGGGCCAGGTTTAACTAAAGAGTTTGTAGTCTAATAATAGTGATATCTTGCAACAAGAGGTCATGGTTTCAAATTCTAACAGACTAATTCTACTAGGAGCCTTGAGTGTATGAGTAACAAAAAAAAAATAGGAGGCTAGGTTTTGGATTCTTGGGAATAAGCCGAAAGTTTGACACACAAAATTAAAAACCTTAAAGGAGCTCCTTTCATTCATAGCATCAAGATTTTGATTTCAGCGTTGGATTTTAATGTAACTCAAAATCCTAAACCTCATGACTAGATGCGCATGCGAAACGCATTTTGGTGCAGTTTGTCATCTACCTAGCTAGTCAAGGAATCAGTGAAATCATGAGTTTCAATAAGAAACCTAAATTGCAATCCTTCTTCATAATTCAAATAAAATTTTCTAAGTGCTAAAAGTCCACTATTTTTACTAGAATACGTCTGTGCATTTAGTTGATGTGCTTTCCTTTCCCGAGTTTCCAATTCACACACCAAGAGGCTGTCAGTAGGTCGAAACCTTCTCTGCCTCTTCAGCAAAAGTTGCATTTGAGTAATCAGCAATCCATTCACATGATCAATTATGTATATATAATTTAAGTGGGATCTGTACGTAATATCTACTATGAATTGTTGAATGGATAATGACATGAAACATGATCATTCCCTTTTTCAATCATGCCCAATGCCGAGTTGAAAGTATTCAATCCTCGACAATCTTTAGCTTCAAAAGTTTGCAATCTTTATCCTAGAAAACAAAACAGAAATACATTCTCCCGTCTCAGGTTGTCCTTTCTTGTTGTGTCCTATATCACTTTAGAAATATAGAAGATTTCTAATAGGATTATGCATGAGCCAAAACAAGTAAAAAAGCAAACAGCAATAGCTGCTAGCCAAATGAGGCACCAAAGGAGGCAATTTTATATTAGCAATGACCAGGTGGAAAGACATTAGCCTACATCAAAAGTTGGAACGCATTAATTTGTATGTGGCGATTCAAATGATATTGAAAGATTAATAAAAATTCAAAAAAGTGCACTCTTTTGTTTATTGTTCAAAGGCTTCCATGTTCTAGTATTTCCTGATCATTTCTCTTCAAGAACTGTCCAAAATTTTAGCTATAAAAGAACAGATGATGAGTAGACCGACAAGTTCTAGTTGGGCAATGTAAGATATTAGCAGCACCTGAAAATTATTCATGGGTGTTCCAGTGGGGACTATAGACAAAGGATTCAAGTAATTTAAGGTGATGGGGTTACATCTGCAGACCTCCATTCAAGAAAAAAGACAACAATACACGGGGGATAGAAGCCATATTGGTTATTGTTTAATCTTCGCAATCTCGGATATGTCTTACACATTTGCATTATAAATTCATGCATGCTCCTATTGTTTTCTACACTACTTCACTAATCCTAGTACCTTAAGCAAACAGTCACTCTTAAGGTTGCTTCTCATAGATCACTCACTCTAAAACATTTTCTTAGGGAATAATATATGGCTAATTCAACTGTCTTACGAGTTTCAATGCTGATCCTGATCATTTTATCCGCAAATGTAATTAATTTGGAAGCAGTAAGTTATCGTGGGCTCGAGTCTATGCCTAAAAGGATTGATAGCAGCTCTCTCTTACAGAAATTAAGCTATGATATGTCAAAAAGGAATGTGACAGCTGCATCACCTTCAAGACTTTCACCAGGAGGGCCAGATCCTGAACATCACTTGTCTCAACCATCGTCAGCAATGCCTTAGAGAAACAAGCACAAAGCCCTATGGATCAAGCCAACCATTTCTTATAACATCACAATGCCTTGGACAATAACTCTTATAACATCACAGTACAATGCCGTAACCATACTCGTACAATTTCTTGGTGCGGAATTTTATTTTGATGTTAACTAATATCTTAATGTCAATAAAAGAAATAAAATCTTTAAAGGCATTGTATTTTCCCAATATCTAAAAGGCTTTGTAGAAACCCTTGCTCTGAATTTCAATTAATGGAAAATGCTCTGAACATTTCAAATCATCTCTAATATAATCTCCATATATACTTTTATGTAGGTCCTTGTGGCTCTTTTTTGGCAGCTGTGGGTTTTTTTGGTGGTTTCTTGTGTCTGTTATAGACTAGCTGAACTTTTTTCCCTTGTTTTTTAGCTTGATGTTTCATCTATGGGTGAAACTATGAAACTGGGAGGGTCATCTAGCTCTTCTGTCGACCTTGAATTTGTTATGTTCAATTAAGGCAGTAGTTGGCTAGTTAGTAGTTACTGGAGAGATTGATCACGTTACAACCTTAATGTATAAACAGATTAAGTTAAGCTCCAATCGAACTCCGAAAAATTTATTGATGGAAAAACTGAGTAATCTCTTACAAGTTTACGGAATGGAAGGATTGAGATTACGGGTCTCAAACACACGTGATCTTGATCCAAAGTATGACTTGTTGAAGGTAGGCTGTTCATTTGGCCTTTTGATAAGCCTTTGTAGCCTACATGCGATACAAAGGCTCTTCAAATGTGCGTTGTCATTTATCTTTTTCGGAACCTTGCAAGTTCCACATATACTTCTTTGTTTGTGACTTGTTTTAGGTGTCCATTGGAAATCTTTCTCTACGAAGGACATGTTTCCTTCTTGAAACAAGTCGACCCTCATGCAGCGGCAGAGCTACATATAATTGCCCTGGTATAATTATTTCAAGAAAAGTCATAATAGTCCTCAATGTTTTGAATTAGCGCTTCTTTTTTCTAAACATTTGCCTCCCATCGTTTTTGAATCGTTCCTAGCACTCTATGGTATTCCACTCAAGAGTAATTTGTTTAAATTAATTGTAAATGAGATGATCATTTAGTCATTTTATGTTTCACAATTCAATTTTAATATGATAATTTTATTTAATTCCAATATTATATAATAAAATAATAATATTTGTGTAATAATACTTGAGTAAATTATAAATTTGTCCCTCACATTTCAAAAAATGAATTAATTAGTTTCTTTAGTTTTAAAAACTAATTATTTAGTATTTTTAACCGAGTGTTCATCATGACTAATTTAATATTTTTTATTTATAAAATGTCTTCTTTTTTCATCAATTTTTTCATATTTTTACTTATTTTTATTCCATTTTATTATGACAAACAGTGAAAATAAGACAAGTAATGATAGACAATAATCAAAAGATAAGGTTAATCAAATTATCAACATATAAAATTTACGTGGTTTGGCAAATTGTCTATTCCACGGGCGAGAGGAAAGTTTTATTAGCTTGATAACAAGAGAATATAAGAACCACGAAGGCTCAATACAAAGTTTCTATATTTCATTATGTTTCCTAAACGAGAGACATAAGAAGGTTTAAATCCCTTATACCTATAAAGGAAAAAACTTAATGGACTAAATATATTATTAGCCTATAAAATTCAAGCCACACACGATAAATCTTCACCTTGACATGAATTCTACAAACCTTCAAGAATGTTAAATAATTCCTTAAAACACACCTCTAAGCTTACATGAGTTAACTCAATGTAAGAAACGAAAAATGTGAAGAGGAAAAATATTGACTTCAACACTCGGGACTAATAAAATTCCTTCTCTCCAACAATACCCCAACATGTATAAACAAATGCTTAAGGCACATGGATAAAGGCAAACCCAAATGATCGTGTCTCTCTCTTTCACACGGTCGAGCCTCTCTTTTCAGCAACACACTTTGATTTTTTTAACACCGCTTAGGTCCAAATAATGTGTGAACTTATTTACTCGTAATAGGTTTAGTTAACACATCAGCTCAATTGTCTTTAGTGTGAACTTTCTTCACTACAATCTTTTTTCGAAACTACTTCAAATGATACCCGATATCAATATGCGTGATCCTCTCGTGATGTGCTTGATTTTTAGTTAAGTGTATAGCACTCGGTTGTCACAAAGGACAATTGAATTTTCTTCTTATTGAAGAGCAAGTTCTTCAATAAGATTTCTCAACCAAATAACCTCATTTACAGACCTCAATCGTTGTTATATATTCTACTTCAATAGTTGACAAAGCTACTCGTCGATCGCAATGTTGATCTCCAACTAATAATAGAACCGGAAAGTGTAAAGATATATCCTATCAAAGATCTCCTTTTATTGAGATCACTTGTATAATCGGAATCCATAAAGCCTACAACGAAGTTTCGAAGCATTTTCCATTTCAAAGAATAAACTCAAGTCCGTGGTACCTTTAAAATACCTAAGAATCTACTTCACTTCTTGTCAATACACCTATTCCGGATTAGCCATATAGATGCTCACAATACTAACTACACGGGTAATGTTTAGATGAGTGCGGATCATAGCATACATTATGCTACCTACTATACTAGAATATGAAACTCGTAACATTTCTTTCTTTTCTTCTTCATTCTAAGGTGATTGACATGTTGAAAGTCCGAAGTGAGCGACCAATAAAGTACCGACATGTTTGGCCTTTTACATACCAAAGCGGTCAAGCACTTTCTCAATATATCCTTTCCGTGAAAGATAAAATTTTTCAGCCTTCCTATCTCTATGAACTTCATACCTAAGATCTTTTTTTATGCTCCAAGATCTTTCATCTCAAATTCATCACTAAGTTGTTTCTTCAACATTTGAATTTCTTACATGTTTTTGGTAGAACTAAACATGTTATTCACATACAATAAGAGATACACAAAATATCAATTTGCTAACTACCTAAAATACATACAACTATCATGAGTAGATCTTTAATAACCATGATTAAGCATAAAATCATCAAACTTCTTGTACCACTTGCCTTGGTGATTGTTTTAGGCCATATAAAAATTTCTTCAATCTACAATCATGGTCTTCTTTTCCTTTCATAAAGTATCCCTCCGGTTGAGATATATAAATAGTGTCCTCAAGCTCTCCATGCTAAAAAGCAGTTTTCACATCAAGTTGATCTAGCTTCAAATCAAATTGAGCCACCATGGCAAACAAGTACAAAAATAGTGGTATGTTTCATAACTAGAGAAAATACTTCATTATAATCAATTCCCTCTTTCGACTATAACCTTTAGCCACCAATCATGCCTTGAATCTAGCATATTCAACACTTGGTATTTACGCCTTCTTCTAGTAGACCCATTTGCATCCAATAAGCTGTTACCTTTAGGTAATTTCACCAAATCCTAGGTTTGATTTTTATAGAGTGACTTGAGTTCTTCTATCATTGCAACGGCCCACTAACTAGACTCTTCACAAATCACTACCTCTATATAGGTAGAAGGCTCCTAAATGCCAATTCTCTCGGCTTTAGTGAGGGTATAGGCTACTAAATCAACATAAGCATATCTTTAGGGAGGTCTTATCTATCTTCTCTCTCGACCGGTAGCTATTGAGTAAGGTCTGTTCAAATTTCATGACATCTTCATTCATATATGAATCTTATTAAACGTCTACAATCGTAGGGGATACATCTTGAAATGGTTTTCAAGGGGTCTCTCTTTTAAACTCCACTCGAAGCTACACCTTACCCACGACTTTCTCACTCTTTCTTGTAAACTCATAAACAACCTTTAAAAATTTAACCTTAGAGACAAGCAAACATCTATTTTAAGAAGATCAGCTTTGGTAATAACAATTGGATGTTTAGGTACACCTATAAAAAGAGTTTCATCACAGGGAGAAAGGGTAGAAAACTACACCAATAGTGGGCGATAAAATGGATTTGATCTAAAGAGAAATCCAATTCTAGAGTAGGAGCAAAGATGGATTGAATAGGGAGACAGGACTTTTGAGCCTTGGGGCTCCGAAGAACCATGAATAGATTTCCTTGAGGCCATTTATATCGTAATGAATTAATGAAGAATGAGTGTCGGAGTGAAGGAAGAACCGGTAGAAACCATCGAAATAGCAGGAAAAAAAAAAAAACAGCTTGAATGAAAGAAGAAGAAGTTACAGTTGCAATCGTTGCATTCACCACAATATAACTGGATGGAAAACGAAGGGATTGAATGCAACAAATAGATTTCAACTATCTGCTATACTTTGGGGACTGAAAGAACAAACAAACAGGCACTAAAAGGATTATTTCTTTCTACACGTGTTAAAGTTTTTCACATATGAAAAAAGAGGACATGAATGTTATATCAAAATTTAATACGGCCTTTGGCCTAATAAATTAAAGAGAGAGTCCAACAAGCTCTTTCAATGAGTTATTTTTCTTAACCTCTTTCATTCCTGGTTTCACTTAAACTTACTGGTTATTTTCTACAAAAAGTCATTTCTATCCTGTAAGGCCACCCAACATCCATGCATGGCCTAGTAAACCCAATGCAAATGAAATAAACTAGAGGACTCACAACATGCCAGTAAAAGACATACGTGTTAGTATCAATAAGAGCACGATTCAGACAGTTAGAAGAAATGTGAGAGCTTTCAACACAAGTTTGTAAAGACTGCAATATTAAACCTCAATCCCTCTCGAACATTTTAAGTTTATAATGTTTTAGTTACTGTTAGTATTACAAACCTTTTTTCTTAACATTTTGATTTTTTTGATCTTTCAACTTTTAGTTTAAATTTGATATTTTGACTGCATATTAACATCATATGCCAAATTACTAGTGTAGCTTAACCATTATTACAAATTATTATCCTTCCAAACTTATAACCCAACCAGCTTAGGCAAGCCATGAGCCCCTACCAAGAATTTGGAGACCAAATTGCAATCTATTTAGTTTACTTTATTTTTAATATAAAACATCATTAGAATCAATATTAGTACATTTAAAATAATTAATTTAATTCAGCTACCTACAAGTCTAGAAAATAGACTACCCAGCAAGCTACTATCCAACAATTACTTTTACTCTTTTTCTACAAAGTTGTTTTAATAAAAAAAAAACACATAATCTACAAGTAAATAACAACAATCATGATATTACGACATGATGAGCTACATTCACTGGAATTAAGAGAGTGATCAGTTACCATACCAAATATTAGGAGTTCTGCTTTTCACAAAATGATTGCAACCTCTGTCTAATATCACTTGCTTTTTTCTTTTTCTTTTTTTAATAACATAGATCTACCACCATCATGATATCTATAGTGCAACTTATACGCATATCTCAGTAATCCTGAAATGCTTTGAGTGGATCATTAGGGTCAATGTTGGCAAAAAGTGGGAGATCAACTGGCAAATTTTCTGGACTTATGCCCTGCTCCTTCAGTATCTTGACCACTTCCTCGAACACAAACCTGTTGCCGGTCTGAGTGAGGTGCAAGCCATCACTGCAATTCACAACAAGTATTGATCAGAATTACCTAACCAGCATACGAAAAGTTCTAGTTTCTTTCAGGAAAAAGAAATACATCCATTTTCATTGGTCAGACATTGATAGAGCAAATTTTAGTTTAATTTATTAAATCCATGGCCGTGGCAAATCACAGAAATGGATGTGAATCTTAAAAACCAGGAAAAAAAAACTCACATTATAGAACTGGATGTTTACGTACCGGAACCAACTGTACTCTACCAAGAAAGCTAACTATTCAGATTCCAAAATAGCTGTGATTAACATCTTTTCAATAATAGATGATGGATTTACAAATAATTGTACATGTTAAAACACTTTAGGGTAGCGGGAATTAATATAGAAGAAAAGATGGCCAGCAAACAGGCACATATTCACTGTTTCATGACGTGCAGTGTTTTTTATTGAAATTAATCCAAAGAATTCACTCTATTAACAAGAACAGATAGTTACATGAATGTTTTAGCAACAGAAGATCAGTTATTGGTTACTTAGATCATACATGACAATGAAAATCCAGCATGTTCACCCCTGCAACAAACCACATATAGCATATAGCTAGGCAAGAAAGATAAAACCTAAAATACCTTAGATAAGCTTTCTGCCAGTCAGGAAACTCTTGCATTTTGGTCCATAGATCTACCGCTGGGCATCCACATTCTTTGGCAACAGAAATGCATGCCTTAGCATAAGCACCAGCAGCTTCATTTGTCCTCTCAGGCAGACCTGACGGGTTCTCTACATATGGATGTCGGAAAAGTTTTTACGCACTTTCTTTTCACGAAGTTTATATATTTCATTCTACATAAAACTTTGTATGAATGAGCTTTGATAACTATACATGGTAGTTAATAACAATGACACACGCCTTATCTTTTGGTCTAAGCCTTATCTAGGCTTTATGAAATGGAACACAGATGGTTCATCTTTGGGCGAGCCAAGAGTTTCTGGTATTGAAGGAGTTTCAAAAAATCACGAAGAAAATTTCATGTGCATTTTCTCTATCCCAACGGAGATCAAGGAATCTAATGACATCGAGGTTATAGCAATCAAAAAATCTTTGGAGATCAATGCGTCTTTTGTACGTGCTCATCAAGTGAACTGGACTATCGAATCAGACTTAGCTAATACTATTGCTTCGATGAGTAAGGAAATTTCTGCTAGGACTTGGCATTTGCAAAGTAACTCCGTTGATTTCTTTATAAAATCTTTAGATTCCATTTCATTCAGTTATATTCTTTGTGAAGGGAATGCAGTGGCAAATTCCTTAGCCAAGAATAGTCTCCATAGAGACAATGAACAAAATTGTCTAGATATAGTTTTTACTAACCCAATACCCGCATGTTGTGTCGTGAAAATCTATTCTATCATATCTATGATTTAATATTTTAAATAATTTTAAAATATAAACGTAAAATAAAAATTAATTGACACTCATTGTAAAAAAAATGTTTAATTTAATATATATAATTGAATTTAAATATATCTTAAGAATATTTTTTATTTTGATAAATAAAAAATACATACAGTTAATTATTTATTTAAAAAAATAAAATTAGAAGGAGGTGCTTAATATATATTTATATTAGAAGAATATTTAATTTTAGTTAATGAATATTTACAAAAATAGAAAAACTAACCATTAATTATGAAAAAAAATATTTTGATTAAATAATAAATAATGAAAAAAATAACCCAGTCGGTAAAAAAAATTCTAAGGACCTTTTTTAATATTAATTAACATTAGGGACTATTTTATGTAAATTAATAACCTAGGGGATCAAAATATAAAATTGACAAAACATCACCTTTTTTAGAAAACGACGTCGTTTTGAGTCGGCTAAAAAACTCTAAGGACCTTTTTGTAACGTTAATTAACATTATGGATTATTTTATATAAATTAATAACTTAAGAGATCAAATAAATAATGAAAAAAATAACCCAGTCGGTAAAAAAAATTCTAAGGACCTTTTTTAATATTAATTAACATTAGGGACTATTTTATGTAAATTAATAACCTAAGGGATCAAAATGTAAAAATTGACAAAACATTACCTTTTTTAGAAAACGACGTCGTTTTGAGTTGACAAAAAAACTCTAAGGACCTTTTTGTAATGTTAATTAACATTACGGATTATTTTATATAAATTAATAACTTAAGGGATCAAAGTGTACAAATTGAAAAATTGACAAAAAAAATTACTCCTTTTTTTGTAAAAAAAAAAAAAAAGGCAATGTCGTTTTAAGTCAAAACGAAACTGTTTTGGTTTCACTATAGTAGAGCTTAGTTACAGTGAAACCCCATTCTCTTTTAGGATATAGTATAATTTTCTTTTAGATTTTTTTTTAATCCTTATAGATCTCAACTTTGTAATCTTTTCAACTACTAATTGCTAATTTCTTACTAATTTAATCTCAATTTTCACTAAAATGAAAAAAAAAAAAATGAGATATGCATAAGAAATAGACATGTATGAAGCTATAAAGGGCATGTGTGTTAGAAGAATACCGGAGGCGTGCATCTTCGTCAATTGGAGGAGGAGTAATGAGGATAATGACAGTCTCTGGCCAACGCTTCTGATATTCAACATAAAGATAAAAATGTTAGCTTCTGCTTCAAAGAATTTATGATGTAATAGTAGAGGATGAGGAGATGGCTCCAAACCACTTGATATAAAATCAATATTCTATAGCAAAGCATTCGTCAATCATATAGCAGGTTCATTCAAACATTAAAGTTGATTTGTCTATAACCTATAGGCAAATTGGGATCCAACCCCACTTCCTAGTGAGCACAAAGGTTGGAGAGGTCCAAAGGGCAAGTCATTATATGTCAATTGATGTCTACTTCTAGAGCAGCTCGACATCATCTCTATCACCAATGTAGCTGTAAAAATAGAGCATCTTAATCACTCTTAACCTTTGCAAAACCACTCACCGTGCAACTGTGTTCTAGCTACTTTCAAGCCAAAAACAAATCTTCCAAAATAAAAGCCTAAAATGTTCTGTTCGGTGACAACATCTAGGGATCCATATAAACGAACAAGTTTGAACACATCAAATAGTACATGGACCACCAGGTCCACCATATTCCATTGCTAGAGACCACATTAACTAAGTGCAAACTTTTGACACTTGCGTATAAGCGAAAATTTCAAGACTAATCCACTAGGTAGGCCTGGTCCCCCAGCTTTTTCGTAGTTCCAAAATCGCTCATCAACTTGTTATTTACTATACTTTTATAAAATCATCATCTTAAAATAAAAAACTATATATTCTAGCCCCTCAACCATTGAACCTTGTTTCGGCCTAAAACAATGGACCAAAGGAAAGAGCGAAAATGCATATTCAAAGGATGTGATTTCTTCAATTCTTCAAATTAGCATGGGAAAAAATGGATTTTAAAATAATAATAATAAATAAATAAATAACACAGAATCATGATTAGCAAACCAGGAAGACAACCAAAAGCCCAACAAAACTCTTGAGAACTAAATCCACTAGAATCCCATCAATGACCATGTTTCGATAACAGCTGACAGGTCCCATAGGTTGAGTATATATTAAGAATCAAGAGGCGCAAAAATGAACACTAAAATTTGGACCAACAACTTAATCAACTAGATGTGAAATAAACTTAATAAAGAAATGGTTGCAATAATTGACCAAAGGAAAGCCTCAGAAAGACAGGCATGCCCACTCCAAGCACACTTTTGCATGTGACGCTGAGCCATTATTAATTTTCACATAATACATATATTAGGTAGTAATGAGAACCAAATGGCCAACAATAACAGCGACAACTGGGACTCACCCACCACAGCCAGTTTTGGCACCATCTTTCTCCTTAATGGACACTCCTTGGCCCAGCTACAGCCCCAATTCATCTTTTGCCTTAATAAGTTTTGTCAAGATGATGTACGGTATGACATTGATCCTTAATATGACAGAGACCGGTCCAATATTTTCCCAAGTAATATCTAAAAGAATTATATGCATAATCTACCTAACATCACCATCTAATTTTCATGTTTTTGTGTCTACGGTCAAGAGATTTTTAATCCAGAAAGAATAGAGAATTTCATTCTGATATAACTAAACCATATATCTTTGAATCAGTTTTTAAATTAATCAAAATTAAATTTATTTTTTTTCAAATAACGTTAAACATACGGATCTAGAGAATAAATTCCCCAAGATTCACTCTTACCCCCATATATATTAGTTAATCACGTATGGAAATTCGTAATGCTAAGTTTTGAGAAATGAAGCATTAATTTAATTCTGGCTTTGCAAGGGGACGAGTGGACTACACATGCCCATATGGAAAATGACATGACGAGCATTATATTTTTAAGGAAAAAATAATAATAATATTTTAGCTTTTTTAAACTACAAATCAACGAGTAATATCTTATTAATACGTAAAATAATTTACAATATTATTTTAATTTACAATATTATTTTCTGGGTTTTTTTTATCTATCTCAATTAAAAGGATTTTATAACAAAACAAATAAAAAAATAAAAAAAAAGGTTAGATGGTGGTATGTTAAACAGCCCAACTTCCAAACTTAAATTTTTACAGAGTGACTCCACTATTTTGCAAACTTAATAACTTATAAAGTTTAAAAAAAAACTTACATTTATCGATGAAAAATAATGCATACAAACTGAGACTTTTTTTTTTCAATTATGCCGTTCTCATAAGAATTTAAAGAATTATAAACACGAGTTGTGGACATAAAATGAAATCAAAGAATCAAATTAATTATCAATCTATTTTGATTACTGCCTATAATCTACTATCTAATAAGTTTTAAATGTATTGTCTAACAAGTTTTAAATATGTTGAATCTTAATATAGATCTTCTAATTGTTTTCAAGTATTCTTGAATTTGATAGTTTGCTATTGATTCTTTTTTCTTTTTTCTTTTTTCATATTACAGCTTGCATTTATAAACTTCTGGCTCCTCCATGATTTTTTATAATGCTCTATGTTCCTTTGCAACTATCCACGCAACCTTACAATACTCCACATGTATCTACTAGTTGCAACTGCCCATGCAACCTTGCAATGTACCATGTTCATTTGTAACTGCCCATGCAACTCTACAATGCTCTATGTTTTAGTATAACTACTACGATCGTACTCTATGTTCTTTCATAATTATTAATATTATATCCCACTTTCTTGATTGTTAAGAAAGTTAACCCTCATATGTATCTTTTTATAATTGTTTTGCTTAATCAAGAGGTCTATGATTAGTAAGTATTTTGTTCCAAGCAAATCACCCCAACAAATTAACTAACAAGTATTTTATGTAAAATCAAATTACTAGATGAAAAAAAAAACTTACACTTAATGATTAACTTCCAATTTCCAAGGAGTAACATGTCTTCTAAACACCATTTTTTTTTTTTTTTACCCTCTACAGACTTGCTTGTTGCAATCCTATCTAAATAAACCAACTAAGATATCAAATTATAAACTCTTTTTGTTTTCTAAAGTTGCTCTTACCTCTCTTTTCTATAAAATCTAAAACGCTTTTTGAAATATATTACTTTGGACTTTCACTCCACGAAATTATATAATGTTTTAAGATCTCTAAAATGTTGAACTTTTCCAAAACTTTATTGGACCATTCAAAAATGCACTATGATATCTATAAGCTCCACTCACATTAAAATGCTCCTACAGCTATTTGCAATTTGCCAGAATTTTATTCGTGTATTATATTGTTGTATTTTTTTCCACTATTGTTGATAATTATATGCTTTTTGTTTTTACATGATCTCAAATAACGAATCACTTTTGCCTGAACCCTATCACTCCATATTCGTTTTTTCTTGCACGGTGCAACACCTCATTCCTAGTTCTGTTCCGCCATTCTTATGTTGCAACCTTTTGTGTCTTTAAATTACCTAATTCGTGCTCTTATTGATGCTAAAATTCTATTATTTTTCTAGGTTCCGTTTGTTTGACGAAAAACAACTTTCATTAGAAAATCAATTTCGAAGAAGCTATTTTTCAAGAAATTGTTTTCCAAAAAATATTTTCTCGCCGTTTGACAATTACATGAAAAAAACTACAACAAAACATATTTCAACATTTGTTTGAAACGAGAAAATTAAAATACAAAAACAATATATGATTTGTACATCAATAAGCTTTGAGAAAACTTCAAAAAATCATATTCATAATTTCACAATACAAGATACATTTAGAAAAATTTAATAAATTTTCATAAATATCGACTCTAAAATTTTAATTCAAAAAATAAAATATATTTTTTTAACCATCAAACCAATTCATCAAATTTACTTAGGACAAAATCAAGTCAATATTCACATTCGAGTCAAAGATTCTAAGTAATCTTAATATTGTTATTTTGATAACTCAATTAAGAATTATTTAAAAAAAAATGAATCCATAATTTAGTCCAAAAAATAGTTTTATAAATTATTAGTTATCATTTGTAGGTAATTATTCATTTGGTTTCAAAAAAATTAATATTAGAATAATTTGTAACTAATTATTCATTATAAAATTTTACAACTGATTAAAATTATAAATTATTGATTTAATTACAAATGAATAATGTTGAAAAAAATAATATATTTATTGATGAATTAATTAATTTTAAATTTTTTACAAAAAAATACAATCTTGTAATAATCATTTTCAATTATTTAAGTATAGTTTAGATGGTGTTTGAGATAATAGTAAAAAAATAAAGATAAATTATTAAAATATTTATTATAAAAATAATTTTAAAGTGTAAAAATAATTTTTAAGAATATCTAATGTTTTTATAAATCAAAAAATCAAATATTAATAAAAATAATTAAATAATTAACAATAATTGATAATAAATAATTAAAAATTAATTTGATATATTTTAAATAAAAAAATTAAAAAAAATTGTTAAAAAATATCGAGAAAAAGGTTAATAAGGTGAGTGCAAGACAACTAATAAGAAGCAAAATATTTTCATCTTTTTTAATTAAAAAAACAGTTTTTAAAAAAATATTTTTTTATTTTTCATTGACTTTTTTTAAAACATAAAACAAATACTGAAAAATAAAGAAAACAAACGCAGCCTAATAACTACTGGCTGATTGATTTTACTTCCAAATAAGAACTATTTTCCACGTTTTCTTACGTTGTTTGGTTTCGTTGAGAGTCCATGTCTCTCACTGGTTATTGCTGCAAGTCCTACAATTTATTTCACTTTGGACTGCATTTACTGGGCCACGCGTGGATGCTTGGCCTTACTGTCTAGAAATGACCGTTCTATAAAAAATAACCAATGGAATTGAGTGAAACCAATAAAAAATAAAAAGAGAAATTTCAAAAACTTATTAAGCCCAAGCACATATATATATATTTTAATATAATATCTCTATAAATGTGACATCAAAAATCATTATTGACAAAACCACTGTGATTGCTAAAAATTAAATTTTAAAACTAATTTGAATTTTGGATATAACACATATATATATTAAAAATATATATATTGATACCTTGAAAAATGAGATGATAGAGTGAAGGTTCTGCTTGTATTCGTGGAGAGGCACGTGTTGAAAGGCAGCGTATCTATCGGAAAGGGAAGCATCGTTAGCACCAAAAAACACCGTAAAAGCCGATGGCTGTGCACCACCACTTCCCACCGGCGGAAATATCCTCTCCGCCCCTTTAAGAGCCCACCTAGTATTGTACCCACTATACCCTCTTAGCACTACATCAGCCTGAAAATCAAGAACCAAAAATAATTAAGAACTACAAAGACAAAAAATATATTCAGTACTCATTAGCAGAGTGTGAAGGCAAGAAGTGAATCATTACCGTGCGAGAGAAATGGTGGCTGAGAGAGGCAGCCCAACCACCTTCACAAAAGGACATTTCAGTGATAGAGTCACCAAAAAGATAAATCTTTGGTCTCATCTTTGATGAATCCTTAGAAGCAGAATATGGTTTTCTGCAAACTGAAGCTTTGTTATGACTCAAAACAGTACTTGGACTCTTCTGGACACATGCAAATATGAACCAAAACTGAGACTTAAATTTCTGATCGTTCGTTTTGCCCACCCACTTGTCTTTCTAGTCTCTGCTCTCTCACCTAATACCGGATCAAAAGGTTGCTGTCCTGGACTTACACTCTGGCTGACCTAGTAAGCCAATGGTTGCATTTTATTTATACCGAAAACTTCTTGTAAGGACCAATGTAGTCTTGATGTATCAACACTATTACCTATATGCCACTGGCTCTAGTTTTTGTCAATGGATCTGCTAATGATACAATTAATAACCAAACTGTACACGCAATGGTTGCTACAATTAGCATCCAACAATAAAGTTGCACCTTTAAAAACGTTCTGAAAGAATTTATATTTAATTAATGTGTGAATTTATTTGAAAATATTTTTATCATCAAATAAAAAAATATTTAATTAATTTTTTCGAACATACTTATAGAAACAACCGATAGGATAGATGTTAGGTTTTTTATTCAATCTAGCTGTAATTTATTTGATTATTTGTAAGAGCCTAATGTGGACCAAAATCACAGAATTTAATGGAGCTATTTGGGAAAATTTTAATCTATTTTTGGAAAATTATTATATGATTTTTTAAAATTTCATTGTTCTTTCCGGAAAAAAAAAACTAAATTTAAAAATAATGCCTTTACAATATTTTAAAGATACTGTTGAATTGGTTATTCTAATAACAATTACATTTTTTAAGAGTCTTTGTTTGTACTTAGCTTGAGAAAACTATTGTCCTATCAATTAAAAAATTATAAGTCAGAAATTGGTCGTTTAAGTTTTACAAAATAAATTAAATAATCTCTGTAGTTTTAAAAATTAATTAATTATTTTTTTAGCTAATATAATAATGAATATGTTTAATTTAATATTAATTTATCTCAAAAAATGTATTTTTTATCAATTTTTTTATAATATATATTTTTTAACCTTTTCATTTCCTAAAAAAATGAAAAAAAAAAAGGAATAGATGAAAAGGAATAATTAATTAATTTTTGAAACTTGAAGAATTACTCAATTTATTATGTAAAACTAAAGAGGCTTACCCCATATTTAGACCATGTATTGTTCGAATTTTTTTTGGTTTGTTTTGAGACTTTTTACGAGTTTTCGGTTTGATCGAAACTTTCTACTTTTATAAATTTTTTTATTCGGACCCTCCGTTATGACTTCGTTATATATTCATCCTACGTAAGTTAAAATTAGTGATAACTAATCGGACATGGACAAATGTCGATATGGACCCCAATTATTTCGGTATACATACCAAACAAAGAAAAAAAGGCCTTAAAATAATTTTAATATAAAACAAACATTTTGATTTAAAAAAAAATAGGAAAAGACAAATTTATCTCATTCCATTGTCCCAAAATCCATCGCTCTCTACTCATTACCTCTTCTAAAGAGAGACTAAATCTTTTACATTCCTTGAGCTTTTTCTTCTTCTTCGAATCCTAAATCTTCCAATCCCTCACTTCGTATTTTCTTTTTTTCTTCTTCTCCAATTGAAAGCCTAAGTTTCATTGCTTCCTTTTCTTTTTCTTCTTCTTTGATTGAAACCCCGAGCGTCCTAAATCTTCTAGTCCCTCACTTTGTTTCTTCTTCTTGTTCTACAATTGAAACCCTAATCTTCCTCGCTTCTTCTTCTTCTTCTTCATTACTATTTTTTTGCATTCTCAACCCATTCTCTCCCTCTCTCTCTTTCTCAAGAAACTCTAAATTTCTAAAATCCCCAAATCCCTAAAATTTCATAATCCTAATTAGAAATTAAGGATCTTAATGCAATCTATTGGTGGAAACCCAATCTAAACCTAATTAACATTTTGATGAATTGATACAAGAAGTTGATATTGATTTTGATGGGGGGATATGATACGAGATTTTATTGTTAGAATGGTTGCTAAGTGAAAATGAATAGTTTGATTTATTGAATTTTAAGCTTTTGTGTTTATGGTTGGAAGTAATTTGTGGTAAAGTTTGTTTTTGCTTTGTTTTTAATGCTGTTTTTTTTTCTTTTTTGGGTAGTAGGGCTTGTTTGTAATGAATGATGATGACGATAGTGATTGTGACAGTGGTGTTGATGTTTTTATTTTAATAAGGTCTTAGAATTAATCTGGTGTTTTTTTCTAATTCTATTTTTTATATGCTTGTCATGATCTATTGTATGCAATATTAATTGTAGGTCTATTTATGGCATAGAGGTAGAGAGATTCCAGTCCCGCGACTGTAGAATTGATATAGTGAAAGTGTGAATTTTGTTAGCCCTTTAGCTTCTTCTAGCGAAAATCATAAAATTGTAAATATGGGGTCTTCCACAGTAGCTAATCACTGCAGGCCATACGATAAGAGAATGAATGGGTTTAAATCAAGGAAATTGAAACAAATTCTCAACAGCCATAGCTAGCTGGCTAATGTTCCATTCTCGTTATGTGTCTAACCATTTTTGCGTTGTTCTGCTTTGTAGTTTCGCATGCAACTTATGACAAGAATTATATTTCTTTGATACTAACATTGATATTCATCATCACCTGTATTCTCTACTTGTACTTCTTGCGACATATAATTAAATTAAGAGCCATGAAATTTATCGTAAACAGGCTCTTGTAATTCTTTAATAATTTAGGCAAAAAGGACCAAATATATATATATATATATATATATATATCAATAACAATAATAATAATAAACTTTTAAGGAAAATAAATAAATATAAATACAAGCCTAGTTCATGTGTCATTTTAAAAGAGAATATAAAAGTTGCAGAATAAAGAGAGAGAGAGAGAGAAAAGAGGATTTGCAAGAGAGAATGGTTGTTAATGGTGATTATATCGGGTTTTTGGTCTTTTCATCTTTATTTTTTTATTTTTTATATTAATTAATCATTAAAATCAACCTATATTTTTATTTTTTTAATACATATATAAATATATAAATATTTATTATTTGAAGATTAAAATGTCACATATCGATCCATGATAGTTAAGATAATGTATTACGTTAAATGAATAATTAATAAAATATAATAAAATATTTGAATAAATAAAACTTAAAAAATAAATGATTTTACTCAAATAAAAAAAGTACAAAATTTTTTAATTAAAAAAATCCAAACAGTACACTGTAGGATAAACGCAAAACTAAAGTCAATAATTTATACTCATTAAAGAAAAAAAACAAATCAGAATTATTGGAAAGAGCAGGCCACAGTAGAATTGACAATTGGCTATTATGACTTGAGGATACCTGACTCTTAATTAAGAGACGGAAATGGTGATATGACTGCCTATGGAGTATGGAGTTTACCCTATTTCTGAGTGTCACTCGTTGGTTGGCCTTTAGGGAGAAGGCTGAGAGGAGTCATCGATAGCGCAACCGCCCTTTTTATCTAGCTAACCACGTTTTTCACTGATTATTAGTGGGCCAATCATGCCTCACTACTCTCTAGGAGTTATGCAATCATAGAAATACTCTGACCATGATCAGTTGGCAAGAAGAAATTCATTTATTAGGAGAGGTGACATCTAGTTTTGTTAAATTCTACGTACCGAGATATTCTAAATTTCGAGTGTACATCAACTTAGAGTTATATACGAGAAAAGAAATTCATGAAAACCTCCTTTTTTTTTTCTTTTTTTTTTTGTGAATAGTCAAGGATATGATAAATTCAAACGAAATCATGTGTTATCAATTCCAACAAACATACGCACCCTAACTTTCTAATATGGAAAAAGCATGTTCATCGGTCGTGGGCTTTATAAGCTTGTCCAGAAAAATTAACCATTGACAGTGGCGTACGCCAGTTAGTCCTATCAAACTTTATATCTTGGTTTCCGCATTGTAGAACTACAAAGCGGATTGTAGGGAAACAGGCAACCACTCTTTTGTTTTTCTTAAAGTAGTAGCCTAAGATCTACTTGGTTCAAAAGTTGTGTTCACTATAGCTGTGATTGCGGATGTAGTTTAATTGTGACTATACTTGTAGGTAAAGAAAAATATTTGGTTAAAAAAATAAGTATAAATAGTTTAGTTTATTTTTATGTAATAATTTGAGTTTTTAATTTATTTTTATGTTTATAATTTACATCTATTATGTTTCTAAATAATATTTAAGTCTCAATTTTATTTTTTTAATCAATATTTTCAATGACATATAAATTTTTTGATCGAATTACTGCTAATTGAAAAAAAAATTTAAAACTAAACATGCAAATCATATGATTTTAAGTGAATATATATATATATATATATATATATCTCAATTATAAGTATTTTTGTCGAAAAAAAAAACTACGCATGATAGAAAAAATTGATTAAAATAACATATTAAAAACTTAAAAATTATATAAAAATATAATAAATACGATTAAAAATGTAAAAATAGGTTGAAGATTTAGATTATTATGTAAGAACGATCAACCTATGTACTCAATTAAAATTTTTATTCTATTTATAAATAAAGAAAAATCGAATTTGAGGCTTTTTGGGATGAAAGGAGACAATATTGTTACTTGATCAATTATCAACAGAGTTTGTCAATTATGTGACATACTTTTGAGTTTTTATATATGGGATCTACATGGATCACACAGCGAAAAAAGAGAAAATGAGACCTTGGGAAGTTGTCATTTCCTTTGCGGCAGGTGTTTGAATGAACCTGGTTACCAACAGCAGCTTTGCACCACAATTATCATAAAATCACTGGGCAAGTCCAATAGCATTGAATCAGTTAGATGCAATTGTTTCATAACATTTTCATAAAATCAATGGGTACCAAATCGATAGATTAGCCTTTTTAATAATAATAATTAATACACACTATTTTCATTACCTTTACCTTTGCTTCAACAGAAAACTACC